TTAAAGCTATTGGAGGAGACAGTACAAATGTAAATGTTGGTTGGGAACATGGTGTGATACAGTTGGTGGAAAGAAAATTGAGAAAGAGATTAGTGTGGATTGTGTGCAATCTTCACACAAATGAAATAGGGTTAAGACATTTAACAATAAGCTTAGGCGGCCCAACAAAATATGGAAATAAGTGGTCAGGACTACTGGGAAAAATCTTAAATAAAAAAGTCTTGATATTAATCCCAGATTTACAAAAATTGATGTTGGGCCTGCATTAATGGTTCTAAGTCCTGAAGTAATGAAAGGTAAAATGAATATTTAAGGTACTACATATTACTTTAAATATATTTTTGTAATATTTCATTAAAAAGGAGTGTTTAATAAGATAAAACTCTTCCCACAATAAGTTTATTAAAGGCCTCCATGTTTAATTAATAGTCTCAATAAGGAGATGTTAATAGTCTAATTAACATCTCCTTAAAAGCTTTAAAGAGAGCCAACATGTTAAATGTATGAGCAGCTTTGTTTAAAGCTTAAAATACCAGTTATTGTATGTACTTAAAAAAAAGAATGACTAAGCAATTTTTTTTTATTTTGTCAGGCTATAGTAATAGAAAAGTTTTACACTTGAGCTACCCATTTTACAATTAAGTGAAATCTTTTTAAAACACCATTAGTAAATCAATGCTCACAGATATAAAGAAAAAGCTTTGCCAACTATATAATTAAAAATTAAATGAAAAAAAAAAAAGCTTTTTTAAAGCTTTGCCAATTATATAATTAAAAATTAAATGAAAAAAAAGAAAAAAGTAAATTAAAAATTAAATGAATATATAAAGAAAAAGTAAGTTTAATTCTGCTGAGTGCTAAACTTTTGAGCATTATTATAGATCTTATTCATCAACAAATTAAAAAATGATAACATTGCTAAATCTATATATTGCTGACTAGGCATAATGCAATTGCTATAGAAAAGGAACTTGACAAAGAAAAAAAAATCTTATCCTAATAATACTAAAGTGAAGCAGTGAAGCAGAAGTTGCAAAAAGTGCTGGAGAATTACTGGAAGTAATTGGAAGAGGTTTTTAAAAAAACTCTTTAACTGGTTCATGGAAAAATGGAGGTTTGTTAACAAATCTTAAACATTTGTTAGGTAAAAATTGTTTTTGGTCTATTTGTATGTTACATTGCAGTGAGTTGTCTTTGAGACACATTGTTTCTCTGGATGGACCCACTAACTCAAAGGTTGGTTTCACTGGTCCATTTGGAAAAAACAGTTTAAAAAAACTGGATACATTTACACCTATCCAGTTAAAACCATTAATTCAGATCCCTGAAGATATTCTGAGTTCAATATCAACAGATGCATTTCTCTACTAAAAACTGGTTATATGTTTGACTACATGCAAGATAAACCCAAATTTTGCAATAGCTAAGTGTAGCGATCTTTGCCATAGTAGATGGCTGATCACTAGTGAAGCTTTTTCTTTATATCTGTGAGTATTGATTTACTAATGGTGTTTTAAAAAGATTATAGCAAGCAAGGTAAGAAATCTAGGAGGTTTTCTATTAAGACCAATAAAGATACAGATAGATTTTGAGTTTGAAGATACTGGAGGCAAGTCAAGAAAGAAAGTCAAACTCAATTTGGTAACTTTTTACAGGAAGTGATCCACTCTGACAAAGAGGATAAATCAAAACCTTTTTTACTTGTCAAATACCTATACAAGTTCTTGGATTCACTATTTGAGGCTCTTTACTTACCCTACACATAGTCTTGAGAAAAAAGCAGTAGATTACAAAGACATCTGCTGCTGTTAGTAGATTTGAGAGGAAAGGTGGGTTTGTATAGAGACAGAATTGCTCATAGACAAGTTGTGTCTGAGGTACCTTCTAAAAATGGAGTAAATCAATTGTGTATATATGTTTAAATCATTTGTGTATAGACTGTATAAATGTTTGAACATGAATATGCAGCTTTGCCAAACAATAGATAATCTTGATCCGTGCCATTCATTGTTTTTTTCCTTATCTGAGTAGAAATAAAAAATGTCAAAATCAACTGAGGTATTGTCATTTTAAAATGGAAAGCTTATTTTTTCCTATTTAAAATGAGTAATTGGTATTTTTTTTTATTTTAGGGGGAAAAAGTTGTGACAAGTATTAGGGGGTAAAACATTTAAAATTTTCAGATGAATTTTAAACATGTTATGCAATAAATTGTACTGTAATTATAATAATAATAATAAGTATATTTTCTTTTGTGTTACTTGAATACTATAGGGCGGTACTAGGGGGAAAATGAGCAGGAGGAATAAAAAGTTATGATAATAATTTCGAATTCCAAAGTTAAGATATTATAATATATATAAGTGTTTGTTTTGGTACTGTATATTTTTAAACAAAAACTTGTTATTAAATTACCTTCTTATTGTTTATAAAATTATATAATTATATAATATATGATCTGTTATGATCAGTTTGTAATAGAAATTATCTTTTCTTACAAGTGATAATACAAATGATTGCAAAATTAAATTGCAAAAAGTTTGATTTGTAAACATTGAATTTAATTCCTAGCAAAACTGAAAAAATATGGACTAAAACAAAAAAAAAAAAAAAAAAAAAAAAAATGAATTGGTTTGTAAACTGTATAAAAAACAAGAGACAGAAGAGAAGGAATTTTTGGAATTTTTCCAAAACATGACTTAACACGATCTTTGCTGATGACACCGATATTCTTTGTTTCTTATTACACCACTGTAAATCAGTTGACTTAATACATAAGTTATATTTGACAAGTATGTCAAGGAAACAGAATTGACAGCGTGAATGTTATAACATTGATGAGATGGTTGACAGTACAGCATAATCATTAACAACATTTTTTTTTACACACGCGTTTACAGCTTGTTATTACAACATCATCCATACACAATGCCATACATAAATTATGGACTAAAACAAAAAAATAAAAAAATAAAAAAAAATGAATTGGTTTGTAAACTGTATAAAAAACAAGAGACAGAAGAGAAGGAATTTTTGGAATTTTTCCAAAACATGACTTAACACGATCTTTGCTGATGACACCGATATTCTTTGTTTCTTATTACACCACTGTAAATCAGTTGACTTAATACATAAGTTATATTTGACAAGTATGACAAGGAAACAGAATTGACAGCGTGAATGTTATAACATTGATGCGATGGTTGACAGTACAGCATAATCATTAACAACATTTTTTTTTTACACACGCGTTTACAGCTTGTTATTACAACATCATCCATACACAATGCCATACATACAAATTTAAAAAAACCTCAATTTCAGATAGCTTGAATCCAATAAATCACATTTATATAGAAGACCATGTGACATATGTGCCATATGTCACAGGGACAGTGACATATGTACCCTATGTCACACTATATGAATGTGGAAAAGTATATGAAGAAAGCAGCCGATGACCGTTATTTAGATTTTTTTTATATAAATCAAATTTTAATTCAATCAGTTGCATATTTTTATGTTTCTAAGATATATTTTTGTATGTTATATATTTTTGTGAAAATATTAACCTAATGGAATATTTACTTTATACGTACATCTTAACCTGGAATTTTATTAAGAATTTGCTAAAATGGAATCCTCCTCTGTCTCTATATCAATTTTTTAGTTAATAGCATTATTTTTTAATTAATTGAATGTAATATATTTCTTGGAATATTTTGAATTAAATATTCTAAGAAATGTATCAGATTTATTTAATAGAATTTTATTTTGCGTTCAAAATAAAAAAATAATACCAATTACTCATTTTTAAGAAAGAAAAAATAAGCTTTCCAACAATATATAACACTTCTTTATAATTTATTTTTTTTAATTTTTAAAATAGTTTCTATTTGTTATATATATTGGCACTATAATATGGATGCTATAAGTTTCGTGCATTTTTGTTTCAAGTGACGTAACTGTTGCACATGCGTCATAGAGTGTAATATAGTTGTTTTTTTTATTATACAAGAATAATTTTGTTTAAAAATTCCAATTTTTTTCAAAGGTTTTTTACAAGGTAATTTGACATTTCTCTATTACATAACATAATATTGATTTTATAAACTCTGAATGAAATTATGTGCTAAAAAACAATCTGAATGAAATTATGTGCTAAAAAACAAAGAAATCAATTTTTTCTCTAAGATAGAAAGCGCAAGATTGTCAAATTGCGTACGTACTCGCTGTCTCTAATACCTCCCCTCTCTTGTACTTGTTTGTAAGTTTTTGGGTGAACTCCCTTCCCCCCATACCTGGGGGAAAGGGAGTTCACCCAAAAACTTAATTAAATGCTGAAGTCTGTAAAAGTTGATTGATCTAAACTAAACGATTATAAATTTTTAAATTAATGACTTATGAATAAAAATTAATATTATATAAAACTAAAAATGAAAGATATCTTAATTATAATTTAAAAAAGCTCAAAAAAACTTCCCCCCATAAAGAAAAAAAAAGATTTTAATGATTTTAGGCCTTTTCAATATAAATTCATGTATTTCTAATATAAATTCTAGATGCTTGAAAAATTAGTACCAGGATAATTTTTAAATTTTATTACAAAAAATAAGTTTTTATTGATTGTTTTTTCAGTTTTTGCATAAACTATAATTACTTGCACAGTTGTTACTGCATGTTCTGCACAAATATTGGATCTTGCAGTGTTAGTAACAGTTTCTTAATTACACCAGTGTCTTAAAAAAGATTTTTTTCCTTTTGCATGCTAGTTAACTGCAGCTAATAAAACTTCATAGTTTGTTCTTTTATAATAGTGATTGGAAAATGTTTTATGATGATACCTGGAGAAAGAATCTTGTTTCATTTAAAAAATATTATCAACAATTGTTTTTACTATACTTTAATATACTGCTAATATAAATATAGTAATATACATTATATTACTATATATATATATAAGTTATATTAGATTTATAAAATAAAAATTTAAATTTTAGTTCCTTTGGCAAATATGTTTATCTCTTTAAACCCAATACAACTTACTTTTCATCCTCTAACATGTGTTTGGTTGAATAGATTTTCTCAAAGCGTCATTGCCGGTTTGGTATGTATTTTTTAATTTTATTAAAAATATTAAGTTGAAAGTTTAAGTTTTTAAAAAAGAATTTTTCTCGGCTGATGTTTGATTTTAGGATTGGACAAAAGAACTTATATCTCGAGAACCTGGATTTGCTGAGCACATAGACATACGCTTAGAAGCATTAATGCCAAAGGTTACTGTTGTCTGTTCTATTTGTATTGGAAAAGATTTTTATGCTCGAAAATTGAAAAAATATTGATCATTGTTTCTTTATGTAGATTAATATACCGCTGATGGAGTTTCCAGATCTTTTTCACACTAATGAACGCCCGAAAAGCATGCAAATTCAAATTTCGCAGGCCATCGTTTCAAACTGTCGTGTAGGTGATAAGTGTACGCAACCAGATATATTGAACGATTTACAAAGTTTTATTAGTTCGAGGAATTATGCTGATATGAATTGTTTTCCTAATATGGAATCTGATGTTACGCCCCTCTCTAATTCAACCTGGCTAAATGATTACAGCATTAACTATTATCAATTTCATAACATGACTAAAAATGACAAGAGTGTGTATGGTCGCCTAAAGCAACAAAACAATTTGCCTAAGGAGATATGGTGTATCTGGTTTGATCAGTTTTGGATAGAGTTTATTGGAATCGAGAAAGCTTGTCTTAGGCCGGTTCCTTTTGTACACGCATTTCCATTACGGCTTTGGTTTTGCCAAAATGTATCGTATGTTGAAGGTGATGAGGAAAGTTTGTTACCTAACGATCATAATGGTATCAATGTAAAAGAGTCCGAAGACATGAGGTTTAAAATTATGCAAGTAGTATATGAGAATCCTCATCCGTTTCCAGAGTTAACCCGTAAAGTGAGTTTGTCAAATGAAGATGATTGTCAAAAAAACTCAACAAGCGAATTTTCAAAATCTTCGAATCAATTCAAAACTCAAAAAGCAACAAATATCCAGCATTTAAAAGTTCAAAATTATACAGGTGAGGATGTTAGACGTTTTGAAGCTTTGCGAATCAGTCATTCAGAAAATGATTTGTTAACTCTTACAAATAAGCATAATACAATTGATACGCTCTCACTAAATGAATACAGTGATGACTATAAAAAGGATGTACCTCCTCCTCCATATTCCTCTAAATTTGACGAGGTTTATCCTCTCTTAAGAAATAAAAGTACTACTTCCTTACCCCCGGAGTATTTAGAATGCGACAATTTATCATCAACCATAAAAGCACCAGATATTAAATGTGAAAACACAGAAGTTGAAAATGCATCCATCGGAATACTCTTCTCCTCCTCTAAAGCAATTAAAGTTCAAATAGACCATTTTCAGCTTCTTTTTTTGCTACGTTTAGGCGATCTGTTTGCATTAGTATCAAAACGAATTGCATTAGATAATCTTCGCTCGAAAAGTAATACTCAAAAGCCCACTCAGGACTGCGATAATGGGCCAATAATTTTTAATGTGTCGGTCCCTAATGTAGTTTTAGATCTTGTTCTTTCGCCATGTAATGGCATCGATCCCATACAACGTCTTACATTATCTGACAGGGTTCGTTATGAAAAAGAAAAAAAAAACGGTTTAGGTTTAATTGCTTATTCGTCAAGCATTTTACCTCTCAAAAAAATTGATGAGTTAAACTCGTTTTCATCAAATAGAAAGGAAAATTCACCGGTCACCGGTCAAAATGTCGAGTCGCAAGTTTATTCTGAATGTTTAATTTCAAGAAATGATAATAATTCTAAAAACAATTTGTTACAAGAAAGTACTTCACTGATCTCTTGTCATCCATCGTCTGAAAAATTAAATGTCTCCGAAAATTATAATACGGTATTCTATTCTGATAACCCTGAATATTTTCAAAATAGAAGTGATGTTCATTTCGGCGATGATGAATACCAAAATATGGTTTTTCAGTCTCAATTAGTAAAAGAATTTTGTGATGTTGGAGTGCAAGTTGGTGACACTTTAAATGATTTAACATCACAATCACTTAATCAATTGATATCCGTATTACGTGTTCGAATTGGAGGAGTCTCTGTTGGTTTACAAGTTCGCGAAGATAAAAGCACCGTCAAAGTTGCGGCCGAAACACTAGCATTAAATGAACTGGGAAACTTAAACTATTCACAAATGTTAGATTCTCGTGGCAATTTAGGAGAAGATCGATCTGATAACAAAGAATCATTTAGTATGAATGCCATTACGGGCGAGGGAGCTTTGAAAATACGAATTACATCAGGCGCGCAAGTTTCTCCAGGAGAGGAGCAAGAATTAGGTTATGCAGAAATTCGAATGCAGGCATTGGTAGCCGCGTTGTTAATGTCAACGTTAGACAATCTTGCAGAGTTTGCGGAGGATGAGTTTATTCTTTCTCAAATAACTTTTGATCTCCAAATTACTAATTCAGATATCTCTTTATATGATGATAAACCCCGTCGTTATTTATCAGTCGTTAAACCTCCCCCTACCCAAATTATAATTGATGAATTGTACATTTCACGTGATAAAGACGGTATACTAACATTTAACCATAAACTAAGAAAACAACGCTTAGTTTCTGAAAACAAAAATAAAAACTTTCAAAATATTGACACAACCCACAGTGGTTGTCAAAATACAGACATTAACAGCATAATTCCTGATTCTATAAATCAACATGTTGATGAGCTCATAGGAGAAAACGCCCGTCTTTTGGACGATCTTAAAGTAGTTAATGCAAAAGTTATTGGACTTAATATGGAACGCGAATCGCTCCTTAAAGTCATTGACAAGTTGCAACATGAACTTATTTATTCAAACAAAGAAAATGATAATTTACAGCGTCGAGTAAGATCAGTTATAGGAAGAAATAAAGAAAATTTCGTATGATAATTTTATGTTTATTTATTGATTTTGTTTTATTCATGTTTATCCATTGCACTTTTTAGAAGGATGGAATAATTATTCGCCCTTTAATCAATTTCTTGCCCCATACCCTATATTTTTTTAAATTTACTGCATTATCTACTAAATAATTTGATTCTCCTTTTTACTTGTGTTCTCACTAAAGCTTAAAACGCTGCACATTTTGCTTTACACAAAATTTTTATCAAGTTTTTGATTAAAATATATTTTGATATTTTAATTTTTGATTAATCGACTTATAGTTCAATTAAAAAAGATATTCATTGCTATATTAGAAAAATATTTTTATAAGAAACAAAAATTTTATGAAATTGTTATTCTGTTTAATTATTTTTTGCATATATATATATATATATATATATATATATATATATATATATATATATATATATATATATATATATATATATATATATATATATATATATTAACACACACACACTCACATATATATATATAGACATAGATAAATAGACATAGATATAGACCTATATATATATATATATATATATATATATATATATATATATATATATATATATATATATATATATATATATATATATATATATATATATATATTTATATATATATATATATATATATATATATTTATATATATATATATATATATATATATTTATATATATATATATATTTATATATTTATATATATATATATATATATATATATATATATATATATATATATATATATATATATATATATATATATATATATATATATATATATATATATATATATATATATATATATATATATATATATATATATATATATATATATATATATATATATATATATATATATATATATATATATATATATATATATATATAGACAGATATATATATTGGGTGTCCCACAAAAAAATATTTTTTATTTTTGTGTGTAAATCTGTCTATAAAAGGTGAAAATAAGAATCTTTTTTAATATTTTGGGCTTCTATTCCCCTCGTTCTCATTTTAAAGATTTCTCTTTTTTTTTTTTAATTTTTTCATCAAATTGTGGTTTTAGCTTAAATGTGTGCGCGTGTATATTTTTGGGGGAAAAAAATGTTTTTTGGGGGACGCACAATATAAATATATAGCTAAAAACACATAATAAATGTGAAAATATATGTCTTAGTTTAATTATTAAACATGTTTTGTATTAAAATCAATCACAGTGGTTCTGAATGTTAAAGATATGACTGGAGCAAGCTTATAAAACTCGTGAAATTGTTTAAAGAAATTTGTTTAAAAAAAAAATCAAATTTTAGGAGAGACAGAGAACTAGAAATCAAAACTGGGTACGTACTCGCTGTCTTTAACACCATCCCACTCTTTAACGCATTTGTACGCTTTTGAATAACTCCCAATGGATCCATTCCGAACTCCATCTCGTCGGATTTTTCTCGGTTTTTTGGAGTTCGAGAGAAATCGAGGAACTTTGACAAAGTTTTTAAAAAATATCAATTTTTTACTTGTAAAATAATTAGACTCTTACTTTATTTCTACGCTGCTTTTACAATAGTTCTTGTTGTTTTCAAAATGTAAGTGTTCTTTTTGTTCAATAACAACACTTGTTTACATCGCAAAGCAATTGGTAATGCACAGTGGGCCAGGCAGTGCCGGATTGGGTGTGGGGGGCCTTTTTTTGTCATTTTTTAGGCTCTGGCCCATAAAAGGCCTCCAAAAACAAAAATAAACCCGGGCCAGAAAAAGTCTTAATCCGCCACTGGGGTCAGGTGGTGGCGGTGGAAAAAACTTAAAAAAAAAAAAAGCTTATTCTATTCGAAGCCATCTAATAAAACATACTCGTACTTTTCCATTGTACTATTTCAAAAACTCTTTTGAGTATAATAGTATCTTTTTAAATCCATTGCGGTATAATAAAATATAATGCATATTAAAAAATATTTTTTTGTCAAAAAAGTAAGAATTTTTTAATTTTTAAGCAAAGATATAAAAAACAGTAACTTTTAAAATATTATGTGTATGTGTTATTATTTAATATATTTAAACTATTCAAAAGTTTACCTTTACAAAAAAAAAAATTAGTCAAGATCATTATTTATAATATATACAAAAACTGGTCTTAGAATAACGAGGTAACTTTTAAACATAATACTTTTATTTTGTACAAATAGTGTCGTATATCGTATGATCAAAATAATTTTGTCCATTATAAGTTCAATATCCAGCCCACTGCATTGTGACAAAATTGTGTAATAAAATATCAGTGATAACAAGTGATAATAATTAATGTTTAATTATACTTACCTATTAGATTAAATAACTTAAAATGTAATAACTTATCACAATTTAAATAAAGTTAAAAACAAATATCTGAGGTCATAATCAAATTTATAATGTTTCTGTCATTGAGAAAAATGGTTTCGGAAACGTGGAATTACTTTGATAAAGTTGTGGTAAATGATAAGGAAGACAGCAAAAAATGTCATAAATTATTCGCTTGTCCAGGAAACAGCAAAAACGGCCTTTTTGGACACCTTAAAAGTTGCGAAAAAATAGATTTAAAACCATCCAGCCCCAGACCAGTTTTGACTAAGATGTCGTTAAGCTATTTTTTTGCCAAATTGACAGCTCTTGATGGATATTCAATTAGGTCCATAACTCAATCTTTACTTTTTAATTTATATGTTGGTTTACTCTTGTATAAAAATCAGATGAGAAGATCCTCTTGATCTTTCTTCAGACACAGGTTGTTTGCTTTGCAATTTTGTAAAAGTTTATTAATTTTTTTTATCTTATCTTTGTTAAATGCTATTTTAATGTTCTGACGACAAAATCCTTGCGATCTTCATTCAGATACCTTGTTTATGTTTGTTATGTTTTATGTCATTGTAAGTTTATATTATTATTTTTATTATGGGTTGTTTAAAGCTGTACAACGATTAACAAATGTAAACCAAAAAAAAAATCTGAAACTCTAAGAATGCTTTCTGAAAGTATCGGCATAGTTTTATCAAGTCAACGTCCAAAATTTCAGAAAAAATTAAAGTGTTTCATGCTTGAGTTAAATATTTAATGTTCGCTGAATTAGGTGCATTGAAAGTAGAAGGAGAAAATTTTAGAACATCAGGTGACGAATGCTGTTGCAATAGAGGTAGAAAATAGATTCACGACAGAAGGTATTGTTTAGTAATGTTGAGATTGCTATCTCCTAGTTCTGCCGAAACATTTAACATTTTGATAACAGAAAAATAAAAAGAATTTGGTATAGATCGTGAAGATATTGCAGGTAAAACTACGGATGGCTGTAAGTAGATGGTGAAATTGGGTACCATATTTAAGTTTCCACATCAGATTTGCCAGAATCATTCAATTCATTTGAGTGTTTGTAATTTGATATATGCTAAAAAAGATTGTCTCAAAATTGTGAACAAAGAAACTGAGTCGGATATTGAAACAAAAACGGATGAAGAGACTGCTTTATTCAAAAAACATTGAACTTGTTCAAAACACTTCGTATTTTGATATCAACAAACTTTTTGATATGAAGCCTTTAAAAACAGAATGCAGGTTTACAAGAAAAAGCAAAGAACATTTAGCTGCCAATGAAGTTTCTCAAACATCTATTCATAAAATAAAACGCGCAGTGTCTGAAATGCTACTCAAAACAGTTACTGTAAATGAAAGAGCTTCTCCTCCACTTTTCCATTCTCTGGTTAACTTTCATGAAATTACTATTTATGATACTCAAAGAAAATGTACCTTAAGTGCATAAGGCAATCAAAGTTAAATTCAATTCACGTTTCACCGCGAACGGACGTGTTTTTAATTACAAAATAAAAATGGCGAAAAATTTTTCGGCTTCACAATTAAAAGAAATATTAGACATTCATGAGAACACAATGATGAAAATATTTAATGAAAAATTTGAAAGATTGGAAAAACAGATTGATAAGTTGAATGAAGACAATAAAATTCTTAAAACTGAAGTAAGCGAATTGAAAAAAGCTGTCGAACTTATTAGCGAAAAATACGACAAAATAATAATTGAACAAGAAGGATTGAAGGCTGATTGCGCAAAACCAGATAGAAACCTAGAAAAGAGTTTAACCATTAATTTGAGAGACAAATTGGCTGAGGTTGAAGACCGAAGTAGGAGAAACAATTTAAGGATATCCGGTATAGAAGAATCAGTTGATGAAAGTTGGGACGATTGTGAAAGTAAAGTTCGTGAATTAATAAAAAAAAAACTTGATCTTCAAGGTGAATTCATTATTGAACGAGCTCATAGAGTTGGAAAAAATGATAAAGATAATACAATTAAAAAATGCAGAACTATTGTGGTCAAATTTTTAAATTTTAAGGACAAATCAACAGTGCTTGGTAAATATATAAAGACGAAACTTTGGAATCAAAGAATATATGTGAACGAAGATTTCAGCGAAAGGACAACCGAATTGCGAAAGAAGTTGTTTACGGCTGCAAAAGATTTACGAATAAAAGGTAAATATGCAAAGGTTGTATATAATAAGTTAATAACGCGCGATTAAAGGAAATTCTTTTATTTTATGGTTTTCTAAAATGGTAAAATGGATTCCAATAATTTAAACGACTTTGAATTAAGTTATAATTTTTTCCGAACTGATGAGTTTTTATTTAATAACCAATCAGATCCGGACTTAAATTACTTTTGTGAAGCACATGCTTTACAAAGCAACTGCTCCTATTACTATGCCGACGAAATAAAAGAGTTTCTTAACTGTAGATATTTTAACACACTTTTCATATTAATATAAGAAGCATATCAAAGAATTTTGAAAATTTCTATTTAAACATGAAAGAATCTCTTAATATTTTTAGTTTAATTTGCATGTCTGAAACCTGGTGTAACTCTAATAACTCTAATTTGAATTCAAGTATTTTTTTACCAGGTTTCAATATAATTTCTTTGGATAGAAAAAATGGAAAGCGAGGCGGAGGTTTAATAG